TAAAACACTGGGAACTGAAGTACGGCAGAGACATGAAGTGACTTGACCAAAACTACACAATAAAAAAAAAAACCCAAACCAACAGCTTTTCTTCAGTCATTGTAGTATCAGTACAACTTAAGATATTCTTCAGAGCAAGATCCACCCCCACCCCCCCTTTTAAAACTAGGTTAGTCTGATTAATGTATAATTATTAATGTCTGATTATGAGATAATTTTGTATGTCCAAAATCCTTTGGTCTCAACATCAGTTTGTCCGAAAGCCCTTTCTGAATCTGTTACTTTAAAAAATTTTAATCCTTTTATCATAGTTGGCTTTATTTAGCTGAGTTTAGGAAAATTTCCTCCTGTGTATTTGTTGCTGGTTTCTGAATTTTTTTTTCTGTGTGGTGGTGTTCATCAAAGCGTGGAGGAAACATTGTCTTCTCTATAGGAAAGAGCATGACTGTTCAAGATGCTTCTTTTGTAGAAATTACTTCCTTGTGGTAGTAGCACATACTTCCCAGTATTTCCTACTGTGAAGAGAACTTTCAAAGCACAATTTGTTGTCATCTGTCTGAAGGCGTCGTTAGAAGAGCAGTTCTGACTCTTGGCTCTGGTGGTTTGAGAAGTTACCATCTGGTCTGAGGTTTTAATCCTTGGAGCAGTGTTGGCAGAACAGAAAGTGTGTTCACACCTTGGCCACATTTGTTCATTTGGACCTAAACTGCACTAGCAGCTTAAACTAAGCCGCTGGACTTCGTGCAAAAGTAGCTGAGGTGCGTTATGTTTGCTGATTTTTCTGTCCCTGTCAGCCCCTCTCTGCTGGTTACTGCCCTCCCAGTAACTTTAAACTGATAAAGCAAATGCTAAACCTCTTTCATCAGTATTCTGAGACAGCATTCAGCTCCAGGATTGTCTGCTGCTAACTTCAGGGAATAAACTGGACATGATTGTAGACTGTACAACTGTCGGTATGTTCTGACAAATGCAATCAAGAATAAATTCTTACGTTCTTAATTTCAGCTTTTCATCAGAAAGGATGATCCAAAAAATGAGACTTACTTATGAGTTTAGTAACAGGAGTCTTTTCTTAGATTTTGTACTTGTCTAACAGGCGACACTGTCATTTGTTCCTTACCTTTTGTAGGAAAAAAGGGAGTTCAAGTGTGTAACTCAGTAATGAGTAAAAAAAGGAGTAAGTCCTCAATAGGACTAAAGCTAACGACAAAAGGGAAGTGACATAACCATCTACTGACTGGAGGTGACTGGAAAGTCCGGAATGCACGTGTTACTAAAGAATTAAAAAACCCCTTCAGATGTTCTACTCCTTCCCTTCCCCAAATAACCTTAATGCATGATTCTTTCAGAGAGGTTTTTATTCTTTTTACAGCTTTTCCTCAAAAGTGCTTAGCTGAAGTATTAGATCATGTGCATTTGTAATGTAAAAATAGAAACTTTTTCCCTCTAAGTAGCTTACTACTTAAGATGGTATAAATCTCAACAATCTTCATGAGACTCCCAGTTATATTCCTAAACTCTGACATGAACTTTACTCAAGTTGTTTAATTTGAGAAATGACTTGATTTTTGGTACATAGTTTGTCTCCGGCATTAAAAACTATTTTTGATCAAAGACTTTCTAAATAGCATGTGACTAGAATGGGGGAGGAAATGAACAGTCTCTTCACTCTGAGATTTTCATTTTTAGTACACACATTTTCCATGAATGATCTAGAGCACTGCTGTTAATTTGTCATACAGCAGGTTCTCTAGCATGGACATCAAGAGGTTGTCTTGGCAGAAGACCTGAGCGGTTTGTAGACTTGTTCTTGTAACTGTACTTGTGTGAGCTGAAGAGTGTGGAACTGCATTCTTCTGGTTGAAGCATTTGCATTCTGAATGTCTGACCTGTTTGTGTTCGTGTTTTACTACTAAACTGAAACTAATGTGGCTTTGTTTTGACTGAAACGGGATAGAGGGCATTCACGTGAATAATACTGATGGCAGTTTGGAGTAGGCTATAATGAAGGGCTGGAATTAGGGGTTCTGGGGTGGTAATTTATTCAGGTAACACAGTTGTGTATGGGAAAAGGTATGTGTCTGCAATCAGCTTAAAGCACCACATCCAGTGCAAAGACAAGCTTGGAGTACACTCTTAAGGACATTAAAGCCTTGCAACTCAAATGTAATTGCAAGAATGCGTATAGTATGCTTTTAAGTATCTGATGTGAATGAGAAGCTCCTTTCAGTCATCTAATGTTCATATTATTTTCTTTGTCTTTCTGATTAAAATTTAGGAAGTAGGAATTCTCTTAAGCTGCCTTTATCCACATAGAGCAAGAACAAATACTTTGTACATCAGTATGCTTCTGTAGTTGCATTATCATAATTTTCTCTGGCTTTACAAATGTTACATTTTCCCTGATTTTATTATTAAAATATTGCTACAAAAAACTTTTTCTAGTTCACAGTGTGCCTGTCAGTTCTTACTTTGCTGCAGAAAGAAGAACTGGTGATAGGCTAATGTTAGCAGCTTGCATTTATCTTCTGATAATTCATATAGTAGAACATCTTATATTGGAGTTCTTGTGTTATTTTCCCGTAAGTAAGCACAAAAAATAAACTTAAATAGACTAAACCACAAAAAATTGTCAAAATAGCATATCTTGTGATCTCTCCTTTCTGCAAATGTGCTAGAAGTAGGTGAGGCTTCCTCTTTGTCGTCTTCAGGAAGTCCAGCGTTAGTAGGTATGGGGAGGGAGGGAGAGGGGCTTCTAGCAGACTAGATCTTTGCTCCTGATGAGGCCAGTAGGACTGAGAGTCATCCTCTGCTCTTTTCTCCAATGGTGGTGTAACTGCAGAACTGATGATGACTCAGGATATGCTGTATTTGGGGAACATAGTTTTATGTCCTTTCATTGCCTTTGAAGAGTTGTCTAATAGTGGACCTTCACTTTTATATTGAGGATTTACTTTGAAGTTAATATTCATTTTGAGCTAGACTTGCTGTTTATTGCAAATAATACACAAGCTCTTCAGCAACATTTTTACAACATGACATTTGTTAAAAAAAATATATGGACTTAATAAGCTGTAACATACTTAAAATCTTGTGTATTAAAACTCTGTCTTTCTTTTGCCAGGAAGATCTTTAAAGCAAAGATGCTTTAAAACACTGAAGCAAAACTTCCTTCAGTGGTGAATCCATTACTTAGGCTTGGGTGGAGCTCAGATTACGTCATCTGTATGAAAAATATTCATGCTTGTGAATTCATGCTTAGTCTAGAGATGTGAAAGACAACAGAGAGAGCTAAACTGCCAATCTGTATTTGTAATCTCTCTGAATATTATAGCTGTTGTTTAGTGGGTTTTTTATAAGATGAATCTTCTAACAAGTTTTTATGCTGTATACAAGTCAGTTACCTGAAGAACTTGAGTTCTTTAGTTATTCTGGGGTTTCTATAATACCCTGGCTGGGTTGATGGGTAAAATTTTGGCTAGGTTAGGCGAAGGGAAAATCTTTTTGTAGAGTTGCACGTATGCAAATCATTTTGACAAGCCAAGTCTTTGAAAGAGTAAAAGCGTGTTGACTGTAGTTTCAAAAGTGATACAAAATATTTTTGTATTGGAAGTAGTCTAGTTCCCACGCTTGTTTTTTTGTCTGAAGTTCCTAAACTGCCTCTTGTGGCTAGCATGTTAAGTAGTGCCTGTTCAGAATGGTGGAGAACATGCGTGTATTTTTTTAAGTGCTGTTTTTGTGGTTCCCTATAGCTGGACCTAATTTGCATTCTTTTCTTGATCACTTGCTATTTTGGAACTGTAACAGAGATGCAAGCGTGGCACAGTTCTGCACCTTGGTACTGCTGTGAAAAGCAATGTGGAGCTAAACCTGTCCTTGTTCACCAGTCACAATACAAGTTTGGTTGAGCTTCCCCTCTTTGGGCACTTTCCAGCCTTGCAAAGGTGACAGTAGCAGTTTGTTTCCCCCTGTGCTATATGTGACTCTTCCAAACTCTGAGTCTTAAGTACAATAAATCCCAGTGCTCAGCCAGAGTAGTATTTTTCAGGAAACTGAAATGGAAATAGACCATATCTGGAAGTGCGTGCTATTTATAAAGTCTATCTGAAAATAGCTCTTCATTCCCTAAGGAATCAGGGAAGACATTCTGAATTAACGTAGGTGATACTGTCTTATTTGGTGGATACCTACAGTAGCTGTCCTCGTTCTGAAGAGCTAGGAATGGTTTTGGTTCTGTGTTTTTATAAGAACTTGTAATGTATAGGCTGATCATTATTTTGCCCTTTTTTGTTGTTTCTAGATTTATTTTTTGCTGTGCAGACAAGGGAAAACTTGTTCTTGGTTTCCATATTATTTATAGTTTTGTTGGTTTTGTTTTTGTTTTTTTAAAGTGGTGTGGTTAATTTTAACTCTTCTGCAGATGGTTTCAGAGAAATTTGCTGAGAAGGATGTGATTGTGGTTTAGTATCACCTTTGACTTTATCACCTATAGATATAAAGAATAATAAAAACAACTCTAACATAACCGAGTGCTAAATACATTTTCATGTGGAGAGCATACACTTTGATATGCAGTTTTTGGAAAATTAGTCTTCAGGTAATCTGTATCTTCACACAACCTGTGTGACACTCTGGGTAAGAAATATACCTATATGAAGGAGACCAAAGGGCAGGAATTAGGGAGGTAGAGGGAGCAGACTCTGGAAGATTAAAAACAGAGGAAGTGGAAGCTCTGAGGTGAACTTCCTCATGTGTTACCTCTACACATAGATAACAGCCACTGCTGTTAAATCATAGGATTTTTAAACACACAACCTAAAAATCATACTTGCTATGTAAAAAAAGATTCCTTATACCAATGAAATCAGAGTTTGAGGAATATAGTATAAAACATTCATATAGCTTTGTTATATTATTCCACAATAACTTCGTATTACACCTATTAACATATTGTTTACGGCTTCAAAACTAATTATTTAATATTTTTCCTTCTTTATTAGGTTCCTGTGGCAGGAGACTACTGACCTGAGATGGAAGTCAAAACATCATTTAGCAAAGCCAGTAGGATTCCTGAAACTGTTTCCACATTAATTAATGAAGACTTTGTCCTGGTTCATCAGCAATCTGAGGACACCTCTGGAAAAGATGAAAAACCTCAGCTAAAGGTTTACTATTCTTTATTTTAAATGTGTAGTAAGATTTGTATTGATCAAAAGATTGTGACTTCTTTTGAATATTTAATTAAAGATACTTGTGTGTGCTTGAGGAGACTCTTAGGCTGTAATTTTTGTCCTTGTTTATTACCGGTGAAATTAACAGCTCAGATTAAGCAAATCTGTTTAAAAGTGGCAGTTCAGTTTTTCTTTTAATAACTTCTTTGGAGGTCAGCTTTATTACTGTTCTGTGGATTTAGACATTAGTAAAGGACTAAAAAGTTTTTTTCAAAGAATAAGCTTCAGATTAAAGCTTGGGAAATATTCTTTATTTAGGGATCAGAGACTCTGAATGTTGTTATCTTAAAAGCACGTAATTTGGCTGCGTAGGAATAGATCACAGAGGGTCTTGGGTTTTATTTTTTAATTCAGTTTTCCTGCTTAGTGCTACTTTAGGCATGACTAAGACCTTTTCTAAAAGCTTTCTACCTCTAAATAGCAGAATATTTTAGCATTTGGGTGACAGCTGGTTGGTTAATTACAAATTTCCTCACTTGAGTTGCAGTAGCTGATTTACTGGTTTTGGTCCACTTGGAACTTTGTTCCCCTTGAAATGACAGTAAGTACTTAGTCTGTCTGCATAAGTGTTCGGCAGTTACTTACAACCGATGATTTCCGTCTGTATTAAACATTAGCTGCTTCTTTAATAATTATGCCTGAAAAGAGGCAGGTGAACTGGAGGTAGAATCCATGAAGCAACTTTATTATTGGCCATGGGTTTTTCTTGGTGTGAAAAGCTAGTACTTGTGGAAGGCTGCATTTTTTTTTTTCTAGGGAATGTGTCTTGCCGTTTTCTTGCCGTTTCCTTAGACTTGCACCCCTCCTATGTGTGGGACAGTTGGTGAAACAACTGAAATGGATTGGATATGACTAAGAAAGTAAAATTTTCTTTAAGACTAATCTATAGCAAAGGGCGAAGTCTGTTGATCTGTGTTCTGAATGGCGGATCTAAACACACAAACCTGTTATTTTAAGAGAGGTCTGTAGTTTTTAGATGGATGGTTGTTGGATTAGCTGTGAGAGTACGTGCATTATATGTAATGGGATGGGACATTGGATTATATTTTATTTAATTTTGTACATTCTTAGTGTGTTGTCTTGTTTAGCAAAGTTTCTTAACTTTTGCAATGAGTAAGACTATATGTTTAAAAAATAATATTGAAAGTAAAACTACAAGTACCTTTAAAAAATGTCATCTCCTTCTGCTTACAGGTATTTTCAAATGGAGATGATCAGCTGGAGAAGGCAATGGAAGAGATACTGAGGGATTCAGAAAAAGACCAGAACACTGGTCTCCAGGAAGGTTCCAGTGATGCAAGCAGTCAGGCAGCTGGAGATGGGTCAGCAGGTCAAACAAATCAGCCATCTTTGCACCTTGTTTTAGACCCTTCTGCTACAGGTATTGCTAAAGTGCTTCCCCCCTCAATCATATATGGCAGTCTTTTTCTTTGTGCAGTTTCAAGTTAACCTTAAAATGAATATAAAGCTTCCTGGACCTTCATTCCAAAACTACCCTGGGGCCTCCTCTCCTCTCCTCTCCTCTCCTTCTGATTAGTTGAGGATTATAGACAGGAATAGATAATCATCAGACTGATACCCTGTGCTGCTCTGTTTTGGTCAAGATAATTTTCATTTTGTCTCCAGCCCTAGATGAGTTAGGACTGAGTGTTGTTTAACCTGCTGAATGGACTATAGTTGAGGTAGAGATGCCACAGATGGAGTATGAGAAGTTTCAGGGCAGTGTTCATTGACAGTACTGCTACAAATGAAATACACCCTGAGTAAACTGACAGACTTTTCAGCTCTGGTTCTATCACCAGGTATCAGTAAGGACAGCTTTAGATTTGATTTGCCAGGAATGATTGTGGTACTTTTCTGGTATTTGAAGTTTTGGTGAAGAAGGGAGGACTGAAAGCTTTATATGTAAACTATATTGTATATATTTTATGTAAAATATATTGTAGCTTTTCTTTTTTAATATGTATTAGGAATACAAGGCTGTGGTATCTCTGTGGGCCTTGAATTAGAATTCTTTTTCCCTCAGTAGTATGCGGAGCACTTCTGTGGCATTGTATCAGATAATTCCATAGCATCTGTTTGGGAAGTAAAAAAAAAAAAAAAAGTGTTTGTGGTAGAATAAGATAGGCAGTTTACTTCTAATGGAAACACCCTTCTCTTAATTACGTTTGCTGTATTTTTGAGAAACTTACCTTACTGGCACCCTGTTTGACGTGCTTCAAACAGAACACAACCCTTAGCATGAATGAACAAAGAAATACTTGTAGATACATTCCCCCCTGCCAATAGGAATAATTCAATTTTGCAACCTTTATGATTTAAGTATTATGGAAATATTAGCTAAAGTAATAAGAAATGGAAATAACAGGGCAGATTGCTTAGAGAGGTTTGGAATGTCCGTCTTTTGGAGATACCAAAACTCAGCTCAACAGGGCCCTGAGTAACCTGATCCAGTTTTGAAACTAGCCCTAATCTAACCTGATCTGTCTTTGAGCAGGAGTTAAAGCTAGATGACCTCTTTTCCAACCTAGATGATTCTGATTCCATAATTAACAAATTTTTCTTCTACCTCTCCTCTCGTTTCTCAAATGCCCAAATGCCTTTAAAAAACTCACCAGAAAACAACAAGAACAGCAAAACCCCCAAAAGCTCCCTCAAGATCGCCCCTGCCCATAGTAGTGTGATAGTGGAAAAAGAATGCTTCTCTTCTGCTGAGTAGAGGAAGAAACAGATATCCCTTTTCTTTTTTCCAGCTCCCTGATGGTTTCATGCAGTTAATACAGCTATCCTAGGAACATGAGCTGCATTTAATAATTCTACACAAGCTGCAAAGACACGTGAGAGAAGAGAATTAGAGGGGCATCTTTATGCAAAATGATGAGTAGGAATTAGAAGGAGGTGTAAACAAACTAAAGTAAAGAACATCTGGGGAATGGAGCTTAAGGAAGAATTGTGTTCTAGCACTGCTAAAAAGAATCAAAAGGCAATTTATCCCTATGCCATACTTGGAAACATGCATTAGAATAGAATAGACTTAGTGTTAATATTAAGCTGCCAAATGGATTTCTTACTATTGGAGCTGGACTTCCGACTCCCATGTCCATTCTCAGAAAAAAGGGGAGATTTTGCTATGGAACTCATTCAGAAACAATGTGTAAAAATAAAAACAAATGGTTATAGAAGTGTTTGCTTTATTTTCAGAAATCTCTGCACCAAGGCCATCTTCTCCCAGTGAACCCCTGGAAGAGGACAGTGTATTGTTTAACAAACTGACTTATTTAGGTTGCACAAAGGTGTCTGCCCCTCGAAATGAACCGGAAGCTCTACATGCCATGGCAAACATGAAATCCTCAAGTCAGGCCCCTTTATCTGTAACGCTTTATGTTCCAAACATTCCAGAAGGCTCTGTAAGGTAACATACAAATGTTTCTTTTGTTACTTGCACAGACACATAAAAGGTGGATTCTGACTTTGTTACTTACACAGGGAAGTAGAATTACTGGATTTGTGCCTGAAGTTCTTGCTGAAGACAGTTATTTTTGAGAAATTCCTCTGAAGCAACAGGACGCATGCTCAAATTTAACATGCAGTACATAGTTGGTGGTAGCGGTTGCCATACAGTCAACAAAAGCATATTTTTCTACCTGCATCTCTGTTCAAATATGATAATAAGAGATATACTGGAAGAGGAGAGCTGATAATGCTTGTTTTTTCCCAACCTCCCTAGTCTGTAATCACCTCCAAGGTAAAGATGTTGAGACAGTAGTAGTCCTGCTGGCCTTGGGTTAACTGAAGATGTTTCAGTTTTAGACTCTTCCATATATGTTGAGGACATTGCTATGCTAAAGCCAAGTCTCACCTGTGTCTGCCTCATGATGCATATGCTGATAGTCTCTAGATACTAGAAAACATTTACTTGCCCCGTGTGAGAAGGGTCTTTTAATTAGTGATGAGAGAGTCAAGGGCTCTTAATCAGGGTGCACTAAAGGCACATCTGTAGCAGTCTTGCTTCCAGAAGTAGGGAGCATCTCAATATTAAAGATTTTTATTTTTAAGCTCTGATACCAAGATATCTGAAGGATATGGTTAGATTTCCTTTCTTTCCTGTGCTCCGCCTATGTATTGACTGTCATATTGCACAGAAAAACAGAAGGACCTTCAAGCACATACATTATTTTCTTCCACTTTGCTCTTTGAATCCCATTTAAGATTTTGTTTGACGTTACGGCAAGATTTCATTTGAATTAGGAAATTACACTGCATGCTTTTATGATGGCAATTGTCACATAGACACTAGATGTTAGGTGTGTTGTACCTATTTTCATAGACATTGTGGCCATTCAAGAAGATTGTTTTCCAAGTGAAACTGCAGGTTCCTTGGATCTTTAGTTGCAGAGGACATCACTAAGCGAAGGACTGCCCAAGAATCTGCATAGAACTGTAAAGTTGAATCCATGTGTGATGTAATACACTCCATCAAAGTTCAAGTGACACCAGTGTCATGTTTGAGGAGTGTTTCCATTCCTGGTATCTGAACACTTGTCATCTGGGGTTCCATTTAACACGTCCCACCAATATTACAGTATGCTGAATCCTCTCTGGGCTTTTCTTGCCTTTAGAAGATTAGTCCTTTATTTTTATGGTTAAAGACTTGGGATCCTATTCCAAGTAACTAATGTTTATTCACCCGTGATGTGAATGTGCATATGGACAAGTAGCGAAAAGACAGACTGTGTAGCTCTGGCTATTATTCTTTTAAAACTCACTGTCTAGTTGTCCATTCTGAGACTATCACCCCTGTTGTCGTCTTTAAAGTTTTTGAAATACTCTTTGGGTTCTAAGGTCGAGAGGAATTTAAAATTTTGTATGAGCCCTTAGGTCTGTGATTAATATTCACGTAAACATGGCAACAAACATTTGCTAAGCTATATAGTCCTGTATAAATAATAAAACCAAACTGAATAAATAATGTTTTCTTAAACAGAGATTTTAATTCTTTTATGAAGTTGGATTTTCTTTGATCTTTTTATACAAATTTCACTTTCACAGTTGCTGTGCTTTCTACATTTCTACTCATGTTTTTCACAAATGATTGCAGAGCAATGATTGTCATTGTTATTGCATGATTTAGAGGTACTATATTTGTCTATGTTATGGAGTATAAAAAAAATTAAGCCAATGTTACAACCAGAAACATTTACATCTTAAATTTGGAAAGCCTGACATTTCTGTTCCTACTGCCCATCTTGTGTACTTGAATTTAGTAGTAATTACAGTTTAGATACTTATCTAATTGCAGAAGAGTCTTTTAGGTAAGCCTGTTTGTTTTACTGACCTTTTTCTTTAATCTTCCTTGTTCCTGCCCTTGACAGAATAATAAACCAGTCAAGCAATGTGGAGATAGCCTCTTTTCCAATCTATAAGGTGTTGTTTTGTGTACGTGGACGAAATGGGACTTCAGAGAGTGACTGTTTTGCATTTACTGAAAGCAGCTGTGGAACTGAAGAGTTCCAGATTCATGTTTTCTCCTGTGAGATTAAAGAGGCAGTAAGTATTGAATGATGTACGGTGTCTGGTAAAAAGGATAGAAGTGGTATTTTAAGAAGTTATTCCAGATGTGGAAATGGTATATAGTGCCTTGAAAAGTATGTTAACACATATATAATGAATTTCGCAGAATGTCCAGCTAGTCATACATGAATATTAATATAATTTAATTTTTTTATTTTTCTTTTAGTATTTCAATGAAATGCCAAAGTGCACTGTAATGGGAAGATTTAGAAAGCCTAAGTTTAATACAAATATTTGGTTTTTCAGGCCTCATTTGGATAGGTTTCAGTCTAAAGTTGCAGTGTAGACGTTGTGAGTTACAGAGAATCATTTTACAGTGCTCTGCCCTAGATATTTTAGGAAGAACTGCGTGATAGTTTGGGAGAAAAGGATTTTCTAGGGTGGAAAAATAGAGGTTAAAAAAGAAGAAATCTCCTTGGTTTTTGACATCCTGCAAGAGCAAGCTGTAAGTTGTGTTGTTAAATACACAACCTGAAAAGCACATTATTCAGGTCCTCTAAGGAGCTGCATTCCTAATCTTGTAACTTACTGAGCATTACATGAGCAGTGAATGTGACATGAATGGAAATAGGAGATGTTACTGAATTTGCTTGGTTATTAAACACCTGATCTGATTGTTTTGTGTTATATGAGGCATGCTTTGTGTTCAGTATAAGAGGCAAATGACAGTAATTTTACAACCTTCAAAAACACATCACAATACCGTATTAAAAATACTCTTTTATTTTTGATAAAACTATTAATTCTTTTGCTTTTCTGCAGGTCAGCCGAATTTTATATAGTTTCTCAACAGCATTCAAACGTTCTTCCAAACAAGCATCTGATCATGTTAAGGACTTTGTTCTTCCCACTCCAGATAGTGATGTGTACACTTTCAGTGTTTCCTTAGAAGTCAAAGAAGATGATGGAAAAGGAAATTTTAGGTAATCTGAACGGAAAGAGAGAAGTAGAAATCTCTTTGAAAAAAGTGTATAGCTACTTGCAGAATGCACACCTACTATGTTGCAGTAAAATTGGTTTGGCCTCTCTTCATAAGTAGACTTGTTTTAGAAAGGAGGCCGTTGCTTTGCATTTACAATTTTCTTCTCTTTATCTTTTCTGTAAAAAGATTAAAAATCAGGATACCTTTTTCAAGTTAGTTTCTTTTAAATACGTGATTTCTGGTAGAGATGCTCAAAGTAGGCCTGTGTAAGTGGAAAAGATAGTAGGAAGTCTGTTAAAAACTTTAGTCAAACCAAATTTCTTGAGTAAATACAGTCTAGTGGTCTGTCTTCTTTTTTTTTTTGAGAATTTTTTTTTTTTTAAATAAGCTAATGAATTCCAAATTTATTGACGATTTAGAAAATGTAAACTTCTCTAAGCGTTACAGGGGACAGGAGAGCAAAGTATTCTTGGCCTAACAGTTAATTACAAGATTGTTTGGAATCGAAGAGAGAGTTGATAAGAAGAGTTAACTCTGTGAAAATGTCTTTTTTTTTTTTTTGCTTCATAGCCGGTATATAGCATAATTTGTCTCATTTTAGAACCCAAAATACCCCATGCATTTTTGCATACGTTTGATAAATCCCGCAGAGAGTGTGAGCCCATAGTCTGTTTTTCTTCAGTGCTGGTTTATTAACTTGTGAATAAAGGAAGAGAAGATCTCTCAAATGAGTTGAGCCATTAACAGTTTAAGTGGGCTGCTACTCTCTTTTCTGTATTTAACAGTTAATCTTCTATACCTGTGCTAAAGACACTTGTTTCTTTATTCTTTTAGCCCTGTGCCAAAAGATAGAGAGAAATTATATTTCAAGCTTAAACAGGGAATTGAGAAGAAAGTGGTGATTACAGTTCAGCAACTCTCGAACAAAGAACTGGCCATTGAAAGGTAAGATTCTTAAAAAAATAATGCAGGTTAAGTTTTTGAGAGAACAGTATTTAATGTACTTTTCCCTGGCTTTGCAAGTTATGTGACAGAAAGAAATACAACAATAACACAGAAAGTATTATAATAATAATAATTATAGTAGTAATAATTACAATATAATTAATTTATAGGTGTGCAGTTCAGTTTTAAATTTCTTTTAAAGTACTTGTGTGATTATTTTTTTAAATTTTTTTTTTTAGGTGGAAACAAGAAACATAGCCTGTAATACTCAAACATTCATGTTTTTTTGCCTTTTAATTGTCTTTTTGAATGTGGTGTTAGGATACTTATGACATTCAAGTGCTTTTGATTTTGCTTTCTGTTGTTTTTAAGTAGTGCAAAAACATGCATTTGTTGTAATCCGCATTACCAGCATCTCACTGTTTAGTAAAAGTAACCAAGTTAGGTTGTCTGAGCTATGTTAAACCTTGGAGAACATTAATCTGTTAGACCAATGTGTTGGAACACTACAAGTTTGGACTCAACCTGCTGGTTAGAAGAAGCAATCTTTTGATAGAGACTCCAAGATGAGTAGTATTCCTTTGTAGTTTTGTTATAATATGATTCTAATGTTTGTCTTGAAGTGATGGTGAAGAGCTCAGGAACGGTTGATGACTCATGTTGTATTTCCTGGAAATTACATGAGAGGGATCCCTTTTGGACAGCATAATCTGACCTTTTGTGCGAAGCATTTGCACAAGAAGTGGACCGTGCATATGAAGAATAACAGTTAGTTAATGTGTTCATTAACAGTAGACTCTTGTTATTACAGTAGTAGTAGGTATTGTATTAATTTGAATTAGGAAATGCCTTCTCAACAGCTCAATTTTTAAAAATAGCAAACGCCACCAGATGGCAATCTTATCAAAAGAGTAACTATAGGAGAATTCAATTTTAGTGAAAAGGGAATTCAGTATAATAGGAGAATCAAGAAAAAAGCCCCACAACTCTCCCAAAACATAAGATTGTTTTTTCACTTGCTTTCAAGCACTTGTTTCAAAAGTGAAACTAAAATTTTAGACAAGGAATATACAGCAGAATTTAGTAAGTTTAATCATAGAATCATAGAATCATTTAG